TGTGTGTGTATGTATATATATGTATATATACATATATACACATATATAATATATATATATATATATACATGCATACATACACACATAACTATATATACTGTATATATATATATATAAATACATATATATACATATACATATGTATATATGTATGTATATATACATGCGTGTGTATATATATATATACTTATACGTATATATGTATGTGTGTGCGTGTGTGTGTGACAGACACATGTATTCATTTATACATGTGTGTATGTTGTGTGTGTCCTCGTGCGCAGGCGTTCGCTGAAAATATGTATGCTTTCCAATATGAATTCAATAAATATTGTCGCATTTTTTAGACTGCCGCGGAGAAAACGACTAAGCAGCTGCAGCATCAATACAGTGAGCTCTGTGCAAGGCTTGATGAGGTTAACCGCACTCTCAGTGACTACGACGCCGCCAAGAAGAAGCTTGCTTGTGAGAATGCTGACCTTGTTCGCCAGCTGGAGGAGGCCGAGAACCAGGTTGGCCAGCTTTCCAGGCTAAAGCTCTCTCTTACAAATCAGCTTGACGACTCAAGGAAACTTGCTGATGAAGAAAGCAGGGTAAGTTTTTTATTTGAATGAAATACTACTCCATTGATAACCCGTCATACATTTTCTGTCGAAATCAAACTAAGAAATGAAATGACACGAATCGCATTTCTCCATTAGGCACGAGCCACTCTCCTGGGCAAGTTCCGCAACTTAGAACACGATATTGAAGCTCTTCGTCAGCAACTCGACGAGGAGAATGATGCCAAAGGAGGCGTTTTGCGCATGCTCTCCAAGGCTAACGCTGAGGCTCTCATGTGGCGCTCCAAGTATGAGTCTGAGGGTGTTGCACGCGCTGAGGAAATCGAAGCTTCTCGCATGAAGCTCGCTGCTCGTCTCGAGGAAGCCGAAATGCAGATTGAGTCTCTCAATGTTAAGAACTTGCATCTGGAGAAGACCAAGATGCGAGCTGCTGCTGAGTTGGATGATCTCCAAGTTGCTGCTGATCGTGCACAAACTCTGGCTAACTCCGCTGAGAAGAAACAGAAGAACTTTGATAAGATCATCTCTGAATGGAAGCTGAAGGTCGACGACCTTTCCGCCGAGTTTGATGCTTCTCAGAAGGAATGCCGCAACTACGCCACCGAACACTTCCGTCTGAAGGCTGCTTATGAGGAAAATATTGAACAACTTGATTCTATCCGTCGTGAGAACAAGAGCCTTAACGACGAAACCAGGGACTTGATGGACCAGATCGGCGAGGGTGGCCGAGCTTATCATGAAGCTCAGAAGAACGCTAGGCGTCTTGAACTTGAAAAGGAAGAGCTTCAAGCTGCTCTTGAGGAGGCCGAGGCTGCCCTTGAACAAGAAGAGAACAAGGTCCTCCGAACACAGCTTGAGCTCAGCCAGGTCAGGCAAGAGATTGACAGGCGTGTTCAGGAGAAGGAGGAGGAATTCGACAACACTCGGTGAGTTACTTATTTGTAGTACATTGTAGGTATCTATTAAATGAATACTATCCTTTATTGTAAATTATTGACTTTATTACTATTTTACTTTTTTTATTAATCAATTTCTTCATTCACAGCAAATGTCACCAGAGAGCTATCGATTCCATGCAAGCTTCTCTTGAGGTTGAAGCCAAGGGTAAGGCCGAGGCTCTTCGCATGAAGAAGAAGCTTGAGTCTGACATCAACGAGCTTGAAATTGCCCTTGACCATGCCAACAAGGCCAATTCTGATCTTCACAAGCATTATAGGAAGGTTCAGGATGAGATCAAGGATATGGAGGCCCGAGTTAAGGAAGAACAACGTCTTGCTTCCGAATATCGAGAGCAGTACGGTATTGCTGAACGCCGTTACAACGCCCTCTATGGTGAGCTGCAAGAATCTCGTACACTCCTGGAACAGTCTGACCGCGGCCGTCGCCATGCAGAGACTGAACTCAACGATGCACGCGAACAGATTAACACTCTCACTACCCAGAATGCCGCACTTGGTGCAGCTAAGAGGAAGCTTGAGGGTGAAATGCAGACTCTCCATGTAAGTTTAAATTTAATGTTTTTCTTAGTGTTTTTTTTATATATAATTCTTTTATCATGATTTGTATGCTCAATAATTATTTACTATCTTCTAGGCTGACCTTGAAGAAATGCTCAGTGAAGCAAGAAACTCTGAGGAGAAGGCGAAGAAGGCCATGCTAGATGCTGCTCGTCTTGCTGATGAGCTCCGCTCTGAGCAGGAACACGCTAGTAACCAAGAGAAGATGCGTAAGGGCTTGGAAGTTACCGTCAAGGATCTCCAATCCCGTCTTGAGGAGAGCGAAGCTGCTGCCCTGAAGACTGGTAAGAAGGCTGCCAGCGAACTTGAAGGTCGCATTCGTGACCTCGAGGCTTCCCTGGACGATGAGACCCGTCGTCACGCTGACGCCCAGAAGAACCTGAGGAAGTGCGAGAGGCGCATCAAGGAGCTCGCCTTCCAGAC